AGGCCCTAGGTTGTGATATGTAATTTGAAGAATGGTGTCAAGGTGTTCCAGTTGCCTGAGGACGATTTGAAAGCCACTCCTATTTGGAAGTATATCGTGTTGTCATTCTACGGTTGGGCACGCTTATAAGAATCCATGTATGACAGGTAGTCTTGCCTTAAAGCCCGGTGGGAGCAATATTTAAGGTAATGGTTCGTCCATAGATGTTTTGGCAGATTTTGAATAATTCATATTGGCCCAACTGTGAAAATCTCGGTGCCACGGTGGCAGTCGAATCCACGCAGTAAGGGGGAGGCATAGTACAGCCAACTCTCTTACCCCTTGAGCTACGACCTAAAGTTGAGATATGAAAATATGAACCTCTGAAATTCTCATTTATTAGTAGGAAGCCAATTAAGTTATTCCGAAACCCTCTTTTCAACAGAGTGTGTACACTACTTCGCGACATCCCGTGTGTAGAATTGTGCATTCTTTTGCTGCCAAGAAAAGCAGTATTTTTGAAGAAGGAATTTTTAGAATATCCGGGAAGGATTCTGACATCATTGTAACAACGCATTCATGAAGGAGTTACTTTCGAATTCATAATTTGGTTGGATTGTTAATATAATAAGTAGTGATTGTATGACACCGGGCTTTGTCGTCCGTATACGCCAGAAATGTTTTACAAAAAACTGTGATTTACATCCATAAAGTTTACTGCCGCTTGTTTGCAAATAGACATTGTGATGTCCGTCATTTGATTATTTAAACGGCGGTGGTATCGAAAAGTGACGATCTCCACGACGAATTCTCACAATACTTCAGACCATTGGAGACGGTAAGTATCTTCATTAAATGATGGCTGGCTGGTTTCAAGTCTTGATGCTGTTCTACTCACGTTAACTACACCTATTGGCTTGCATGCTAGCTTATTTTTCGAAAGTGGTTAATTGCTAAAGCGCATCAGCGAATTATGTCTCAACTAGTTTGTATTCTCTGCCACGGCTCTGACTTACAATCTTAGTTAGGCACCTTTAACATTGTCCGTGAGATTTAGTTTTTGCGCGGTATATACGGATCAAAAGTTATTTCGACCAAAGTTGTACTATGATCACTAGCGCGATGCAATTTTCAGCTAAAGGAAGTCAATCCACATGTTGACGTCGCCTAAAAATTTGGCATTTGCGTCTGAAAAACTGACCTCTGGGTCATTACTCCCCATAAATGACCCTGATTATTTATTAAGTAAAAATATATATTTACGTATCATGCACGATGGCATGGAAAACTGTAAAAGAGTTACGTCAACCGATTACCCTGCGAAATATTCATACAGTAAGTGGGTTTACTCATGAAATATCAATGGAAATTCCGAATAAAGTTTTCGGTTCAAAAGGATTACTTAAGGTGAGTTGGAAAACTAATCATCTTGCAGGATAATTCTATTATAATTCGGCTACCTCTGGGAGCGGGCCTTCGAACGACCGTCTTTCCGGCCGCAACCATAAACTACACTTTTATTATTGATTATCGATGCACTTAAATTACTTTATGGGAAAAGTGCATTAAAATACTCATTCGCTTGTTCAATGGGCGGAAAAATAACCTTTTATTCCGATTATATAATCAAAAGAAGGGCCAAATTTAATTTCTGAAATTTTATGTTGGGAGTTTCTTAATACCAGAAAACGCCCGTTGATAAGATGCGGCTTGTAAAGTTAACAATATGGCCCAAAGCCGCTGCTAAATTTATTAAACCCCACGTGTTCTCCGCTTGATGCCGTAGATAAATGTATGGTTTTCCGTACGCGGAAAATACGCAGCTTGTGGTTTCCAAACCCTAAACGCAAGTTTAAGAGCAGGTCGGGTCAAGAATTATTCTGAAATCCAGAAAGATTTTGGAAGGAAACTTATGCCCTTCCTTTCGGTATAAATTCGGAAGAACGCAATTTCCTACCGACTGAGCAACTGAATTAATTTTTTGTGTATGCTTTCCATGAAAAATAATTGAATTTTTAAGGAAATCGAAAATCAATAAAAAATGCGTGCTACCAGAGTAATCATTTTTACAGAATATGGTGCCTGCATAAAGCCGACAGGAAATTATTTCGATAGTCGGCATCCTTAGGTAGCCGAAATATTATAGCATGACGCTGTCCGATGATCAGTTTTACAGCCCTATTTAATTCCGCATTTTGAAACGAAAGCGCATTTCCGAATTTCGGATGACATTTCATGAGTTGACCCACCTACTGTATGTAAAGTAATATGGGATAATTTTCGAAAAATACGGCTCCTGTCTGCCTTTATTTCGGAGCGAAAAGAACAGTTAAATGTTTCTTTTAAGCTGGGAGTTTAGAATCCACGCAAGTGTTCGTCTGATAGTAAATAAATAATTAAGCCTAGGTCACTCCCACATGACTGATTATTCCAGATCTCCACAGTTTTGACTAGGGATCACAATGTTCGGCCTGTTACTGACTCGAGTTCAACCGCGACCGCTCGGTCCGAGGTTGTGATTACTTGAATAACTACTTCATATAAGCCAAACAAATAAATGACCTTCGATTACGGACTACGATGGATTCGCAGTGAATGCACTTTCAGGCCACTTGCATATTGTAAGCAATAACGCTTTTTACTAAAGTTTTATTCTCCTATTTCAGAAACTTTGTAGAGGCCTCTTCTGTAAATGAATCACCATCAGGGTCGTTCTCTTCCGGTCGGTAAGTTAACATATTAAGGGCATCAGGTCGGGCATGTGGGTAATGTGATTAATCGGATGATATTTATCTTTTTTTATACAAGTGGGATGTGGGACTGTTAGCGGATAGAGACAGTCACTCCTAATCTTTCAAGTCGACTACAGTGTTAGGGGCGTGTGGGAAGGTCAGGTGAATTACATGCAGCCGAAAAGAAACCCGGCATCCGGATGCAACTGAACTGCTGTAGAACTGCACTACAAGGTGACTGGTTTTCCAACCCCACTTAATTCATCTTTTGAAGGGAAATCATATTTCGAACTTTCAGTTGGCATTTCAGGAATAAGCCAACCAACTGTATATGGACAATCCTGAGTAAATGGTACATCACTTGTTTCTATTTTTGGCTTCCAAGTATATTCTTATAACCCAACCAAAAGTGATGGTTTGCGTGATTTGAGTTCGAATTCACTATTTTATGTGGGTATATTCCTAAGTATTGATACGCACACACCTTCAGTAGTACACGTATTTAATCCTCCAGATGCATGGTCCTTGTTCAGGTATGCGACCAAATGCTTGTTCACTCCTTGGGTTCCATTCATCGTCGTGACGTTCTTTGGAGCGACTACCGTTGACCTAATTGACAAAGCGCACTTTGCGCAATAACATGCTGCGTTTTTCGGAAAGTACTGTTTTCCATATTCGATAACAACACAAAGCAGATGCGTCTTTTGGTCTCTAAAAAGCAAGTCAGAAAGGCCCACAAATCTTCTCGAGAGATAGGCCGTGGTACAGCATGGGTGTCCATGCATAAATTAAAGACCTAAATGCACGTTTGACAACAATTAATTTGTGTTTCATCAAACCAAAACTACGGTTGATTGTGAACTTCAAAATTTAACCCAAAAGGGGAGCCAACCAATCGAGGGCGTCTTCTGAGGGCCACATGAGTATTTAAAGTGTTCGGATTCAATGCTGCACTTACTGGCGTTGCGTTCTTTGGGGTGAGTTTGTGGAGCTGGTGATAAAGGAGATGCTTGCGTTATGTTTATACGTGGGCAGCTACATGCTGTCTACAGAATAAAAGATGTATCTGGTCATTTACGCAAAATATATTATGGCAATTTCAGTGATTCTGGTGGTTACAATGGAAAAGGTATTACCTGGCGCATTGCTCTTCGCTTTCATTTGCCTCAGTGGTACGTTTCGGTTCATTTTGACTATTACTGATTTGTCAGCGTTCATTTTAAAATAATTTTATATATTAACCAAATTCTCTTTGAGGTTTTCGCCAGTGAGTACACCACTGTTGGCGGAAATGTAACCAATTGAACAGAACTCACGTACACCACTATATCCTCTGATATGCCATCAGGAAATGCCACAGAAACAAACACAACGGCCTCTTTAGACGATGCTGCAATGAATGTTACGGCACCTACGAATAGCAAGAACACCTCAACTAATGACACGAGCAATGGCACATCTGGCTATTTGACGGGTACTGTTACTAGCCAATTGTTAATTGGTCACGGTAGGAACTAGTTAGTACAAAGTCTCTCGTAACATTCTTGTGTCTTCCTAGTAGGTAAACGTCGGGACTTTTAGACAGACAGTAGCCGCCATCTTTCATGAAATGTTAACCGAAATTTCGAGATGTGTTTTCGATTAAAAAGTACATATAAACAGCTTTCTAATATTCGAACTCGCATTGAAGTTTGCCGGGTTCGGAATGAGCTTCCGTCTACCAGATGGCAGCATAAATACTAAGGCAGTTTCTCACTGACGGTCACCCCAGAAATGTAATGTAATTCGTGGGACCGATTTTCAAAAAGACTTTTATTTTACTCTATGGTTAAACATTGCGTCTCTTTGAAATTAAATTCGTTAACAATTTGTGTCTTCATGTTTAAGAGCCTTACAATTGATATTTTTCAAACCCCCTAGTGCCACACAATAGTGCATTGTATTTTGCTTTTATTAACGCTGCTTGTAACGTATGTAATATGGTCGACATATACTGAAAGTTTTTGTCGGCCTTATATGAAACATTCATAACGTAAATATGCGTATATATATATATATATGATTTTCCGAAAACAGAAAGTATACAACGCTTAAAGTGCGTTACCTGACACATGAAATGCGTCGAAATTTGCGAAAAATCGATAACCACTCGCAAGCCGAAACCAATGCGTAGACTCACTATCTATGTGAATTTATAAACCTTTCAGGGAAATTGAAAACATAAAAGAATTGTTGACGATAGTGTTACGTTGTCCAAAAATAATAAGCTTGAGAAAGGCGGAAAAACGTCAAACATCGTTGCAAAACACTAAGTAAATATGACAGCACGATCAGAGAACTTCGAAAACATCTTTTTAGTGAAGTAAATATTTAGATGTCCTTTACGGATAAGTTCAATTTCACGCACGGCGGTTTGCCAACAACTTCCATCCTGGGTATAAATTCCACAATGGTTTCCCGGGGATTCGTGGTATTCTATATGAAGTTGAATTAATTTAGATGTGGTTCAATAAAGTAAATTAGATTTCGGCTGATATCATTGATAGGGTCTTCATAGAAATAACGCTATTCACAGGGAACGCGCTAGGCCGACCGGTGATTAATACATACAATTTGATTTGTCGGATGAAATCGTAAACACGCCATTTTTTCTATATTGTGCAGTTTATCTTCCCAAAAATTAATGTGCACTTTTTCCTGTTTTTTGAGATGTTGAGTTTCAGATTACTTTAAGCCGTTTGTTCAGTTCCTTATGCTTTTCTGAGTTTTTTAATACATTGCCATAACGCTAGACTCTACATTATGCGTCCATTAAAATCATTCGAATAAGATACTTCTTGAAGAAATTTTTCAAATTTGTAAGTGCTTTGACGTTCCCTTTTGTTTAAATAGCCAATTCGGTCATGTGTGATATCAGACCAAAACAGAAAACCCCGTCTTCGAATACAATGACCATCCACGACAAAAATCAACAGCGAATATGCATTCACACAGCTACAAAACATTTTATTATTAATCACTTTTTAAGGAATGCTTAAATACCGCGTTCCGTTGGCAGATGTCTGTGTATTTTATATTTTTAAACGATGAAGCCAAGTCAAAACTCGACACGACCGTTTATTGCACGTTAAAAAATACCGATAATTTTTGTCGTAAGCGCAGGAAAATTCCTTTATCTCCATATGTCGGCCACTTTTACTATATTTGCTCACTGTAGGGCTCCGGTTTACGATTGGGAATGCCCGGCATAGTGAACAGACGAATACTGATATTTTGTAGAAATTGTTAATATTATGCTCGCTTTTTCGCTCACTAACATATGTGCAGAAATCAGATGACAAGAAAATTGGTGCTTCGTGTCATGTCATATCATTATTTGAATGACAAAACACCTTTGTCCTATTAAAAGAAAGTGTGGACTATGTTGTTAAGACAGCCCGTTCGGGCACGAAGTCGCACAGGTTTGTTAATCTGATCTTTAACAATCGATAAAACGTACAACTATCTGAAAATAAATCGCGTGTCTGCAAACCGATTTTCACAGTTATCATGAACCAATAAACTTATTTACTATTAAGAAGGGTTTTACTTGACGCATTGCTGCTTGCTTCTATTTACCTCCGTGGTATGCTCTTGTCCACTTTGCCCGTAGCTAAGTTGTCAGAATTCACTTAAATTAATTTGGTCTATTGACAAAATTTCCTTTTTTTTCGTCAGGAGCATTTGCAAGTGAGAACAGCACTGAAGCCAGTGGTATCACATCGGCCAGCGTCAATGCAACCAATGCCATAGGGCTCATAAACACCACTGTATCCTCTGATATGGCATCTGGAAATGGCACCGTGACAAACACTACGAAGGCCAGAGACGACGATGCAATAAATGTTACGGCACCTGCGAATAGCAGCAACACCCCTACTAATGACACGGCCTCTGCGAACAACAGCACCAGCAATGAAACAACATCTGGAAATTTTACAGGTGCAGTTACCACCAAGCCTCCATCGCAAGAAATCAAACCATCAGAAAACACACCGAAATCCGGAGTTCCTAATTTAGTACTGGCTCAGAGTTGCTTTATTTCAACTGCTCTTGCCTTGTTCAACAAACTGTGATTAATTTTTTTTAAAACAGACGATTTCTGCCAGTAGCAAGTCCCGAATAAACTCGCCTTCCTAGATGTCTTCTACTACATATGCCTTTAAAAAGGAGCAGGCTAACTATCACCCTTGTTAATTTTATTTTGTTTAAGCCTATATAAAAGTCTGGAATGTACGTCAGAGAAAACAGCTGGCTAACGGAAACGGTTTTTTCTAGCTTGTGTGAACTCAGTGACCGCAGTTACTGGAAAACACGTAGGCTACGGTTAAGCGCGCAGTGTGAGTGTCCGCAAATCAGTATGCATGCTGATCCGAGGCTAGCTTTTGTGTGCCTTGTTATCCGTCGAAATACATAGAGAAATTACCTGGGTGATATATTTTCGCATGAAGGCTAGTCTTTCACATATACAAAACGTATGCGACGGAATACTGCTGTCATCGACAAGGTGAACGAGCTAGAAAATGCATACAATCGTCTGCCTGTTTTGAGCATATAATTTATACACGGCTGACCTTCTGGAGCTACTGAATGTCAACTAGAATAAATATGTAAAGTTGTTGACAGTCAAAATGACGGAGATGATTATAAAACACGAAAATTAACTAAACCATCTGCCTATGCCTGTTTGCCGGTGTAAAAAGGCTGACATCAATCACAGTCAAAATAGGTTTATCATCAAAAAGAACGTTTTCGACTGACAGCAAAGATGTTACTTAACGAACTAAAAAAGAAAGTACATTGCAAAATTTCATCTAGCAGTTAAAGGAATTGAAGCTTCCATAGTTACCTATTTAATCTTCCATCAGCTGACCAAAATAACGTCCTTTCGCATATCCTACACTAATCAGATTAACGGTGCGACGTCAATTCGAAGATCTTGCGTCAGTCTGATGCGGACTGTCTTAGCTGCTAATCAGTAGCTCTTCACACCTTACCTCCAGAAGGATACAAAAAATACGCAATACCGTCATTTACCTAATCACAGTGCCGCTACAGACCCTAAATACATCGTTATGATTGAAATTTGACACGAAACCTCGTAGTCAAATTGGCTATCAAAAATAGAAGTTGGTAAGAGCATAACTTAGAAAAGAGGATGTTAGCAGCCTTACTGAAACCACGCCAATCCAAAATTCGGTCATCATCTAACATTCAAGATCACAAACCAAAAACACTAAACTGCCATTTCCACATTTTCGGTCGCAGCTCCAGCCTTAAAACATTAAAACGCAAAAGTCATTGGCTGCTCAATGGAACCCTCCAAAAGCAGGATTGTGATACCTCGTCGAGGGTCGCAGTAAAGCAAGTCATTAGGAAGCCACTGGCAAGGACGGCACACCGGCTAATGGATGCTTGCGTCTCGGATGTAAGGGTTCAGTTGCTGCGAATCTAAACTCCCCAATTAGAGGACCAAATTAATTCAGACTACTGAAACGAGCTAAGTAGTGAGCAATGTACGCTAAAACTTAGTGTAGCGGATATTGCCTTGAGGTTTGTAAGGATTACCTAGTTAATTGTTGCGATCTCGAAAGAAATCTCCTATGTGAGTTAATTGAGTAAATACGTTGGACCAACTGATATGCAGATGTTAATTGCTGACCCATGAACTATATCCTTAGTATCATTTGCTAATGGCTACAACCATTGCACATGCGGAATCAAGCTCTAACTTTGAGACTTATATACGCAGACTGGACACTTGAGTTATGGAATGTTTTGCAATTTCAATCAAAAAGTTTACTAGAGCAATGTCAGTCGAAGGACTAAACGTTGTTGACTTAATTGCAACTGGGCAGCATACAGGAAGCACTTTCTTCGTTGGCGTATCTGCTAAGCAAGAAGCCACCGAAGTTATCTAATAGGGTGCATCGAATGTAAACAATTCTACCACCCCAACGTCCTGTACAGTGATAAATATGCACAAAATATCCATGCCTGAACGGGTGGTTGAAACATTTGCGTCTGAGTCAATGGAAGAAAGAACCGATTAAAAGTGTAGTGTCGGATCAAGTGCATAATTAATCAGTTGGGACCGTGGGCGTTAACGTGGTCACTTTAGTGAGTGAGAGGCGAGTTTTGATTCATCTCACAGACTCTAACCGTTTGCATTCACTCCTTAACCAGAGTAAGAGCGATGCCCATGTTTGGAGCAAATGTTGCAAATGGGGTGAATAAAGTTTAGGGCAAGGTTGCGAACATGACATTTTCAACAAAGGCAGGCTAGACTGAAGTGGCTTTTTCTGTCCTATTGGCCGACATCGGCCAATCATAGTCAAGTCAGAAGAACAGTGGCTCAGTGAATTGCTAACCAGCGCAACAAGCAGTTCGTGACCTATCTGATGAAAGCTCACGAATAGTGAACTTAAATCGCTGTAGTGCGCGATGCGTTCACGCCGCATCCACGAAAGTTATCGTGCGTTAAATAAACTCCCGAGCTCCAAAAGAAGACATTGTTTGGTTTATAAATTATTATTTAAGGACCAGGAAATAATTTATTTTATGAAAAAACAACCGAATGGAAAAATTTACCGTCTGACATGCCAACTATTTACGGTCTAATATATATTTTAGCAGCGAAGTGAAATTTCACAAAACGATAAAAAAACAGTAATACATACAAGGTGTTAGTACCTTGTTGATGGCTCTTTAGCTTTTAATGTTACTGTAAGGCGGGAGGGCATGAAGACTACCATGTTGTCTAAGGTGGTTTGGTCTATGAAATTATTAAGCAATAATTCCATTTTCTGTTTCCTTACCTTGTCCCAATTTCTTTTGATTAGGGCAAAAGCACTTTTGATAGGATTTAGGTCTTGGCTATTGGCGGACATTAAAATGTTTCGAAGGCCGCAGGCAGGGAGGTTGACTCTGGTTTAAAATATTAGATTCAAGTCGTAAATTGATTTGGACTCATACCCCCTTTGAGCGGTGGACAGGGGCATTATCCTGCAACATCACAGTGTTCATTGACGTCTATGAATGCAGTTGTATCCGAAGGCATCTTTCACGCTGTTGATGAACACCTTAATATTTGTCGTGTCCGCCGCCGAACGCCAGACCTGTAACTCTCCGAATTTGATGGCTATCCTAACCATCAGGCATCGACAATTCTTGAGAGTTGGTGTCGACACAGTGTGTTCTCGTGAAAAGTTCTTCTACATATGACCAGCTGGGCCGACTTCGGAGGATTGCCTAAAAATAAGACCTCATCACAAAATCAAATGCAGTTCAAGAGGGAAACTATGTGATCAATATATTTTTTGAGTAAACAAAAAACTTTTTCTGATATGTTTTCTACTTAAAAATGGCTTTGCCATGGCCTTTTGCTAATGGAGACCGAGCTCTTTTATTCCTTTTCTAATTATGCACAAATTAAACATTGACTGATGTTCCCTGTTAATAGTCCTTAGGGCATATAATTATACCTTCTCAGTGTCCGACGAATAAAATCGTCGTCTCACATGCTTGTGGACTGTTTGACCCCACCTCGCTTAGTTCTAGGCATTGTTTATTTATAATAATTCTCAAGAGGAAGACCTGGATAATGTTAAAAAAAAACTAGCTACCGGCTTAGGCGGCAGCCCTTCGGCTGCCAATTTTCGTATCCGCTCAAAGCCAACTTCCAATAGGAACTGTTTTGACATCTTTGCTTCACGGCGTGGCGAAGAACAGTGGCAGCATATAGCGCGCAATTTATATCTACGTGTTTACGTGTACTAGTTCCCGGAATAGTAAAACAAACACTGTCGAGCAAGCTTACTACTGCGCTTAGCGATAGAAAACGTTAGCGTTTTGCCAAATATGATTTGGGAAGAGCAAACTGCCTCTTGATTAAAGAGAATAATGAGTTTTTAATTAGCTGACTTTATCTGATTTTCACGAAATAAAAATCACATTTTCCCTTTCCAAGGTGGCCTCCTTCGACATTTTTCTTTCTTATATGAAAGTTTCTTTATAACGCGACGCGTGAAAATAAGAAATTTTAATAGAGCATACTTATTAGAATAGAAAGTTAAGTTGATATCCGGAGACGTCAAAATTTGCCTAGTTTTGGTTCGTTTCCCCTCAATAAAAGTGAGCTTACATAAGTTCTTCTTTAGAAAAGGGCTTTTCGGGATTCCAATTGATTCTAAAAAGAAAAATAACCACACCAAATATATGCCGTCTCCTCAACTCAAATACCCGTCTCGACATTACATGAATTATATCATCTACTGTAGATTCTAGCCTCACGAATGCCTCTTCGTAGCTTTTATTTAAGCTACACGCACTTGCTTCGATGGAACGCGTGTATCTGCAGTATCCTCCGTATTTAGCTCACCATAATCTGCTTATGCAGCATTAGCTCGGTTCGTCCCGTTATTAGTGTGAGAGAGGTGGGTTATCACGTTCAAGAGGTTTGGCGTTTAGCAGGCCGGTATGACACTGTCAGTAGTTTATTCGCTTATCAGACAAAACGCCACAGAGATCTTCATCAAGTCAGAGCGTTCGTGTTTATGCAATTACATAAAGCTGTGGAAATATTCGAAGTCCGATAGCAGTCCGTTGATGTATACAAAGTTTTAACCAGCCCGAGACAAAATATCCCTTAGCACTATGACTGCCTCTTTTCTGCTCACTCGCATGAGTCCCGGCCGGCTGGGTACTGGATTCGTCGACAAAGTGCATCTAATGTGGTACCTGTGATGCAGAGGTGGGCGGAGTAACATGCTGCGTAAACGTTATTACCATACCAACAAACTCGTTTGCGAGACTGTGGCACTCAAGCACTTAAGCCCCCTTGAGTATTTCACTTTCTGAGGCATGTCACACAGTCATTTTTTTAATTTGGTGGTTTTGTCATAAAATAAATTATTTTTTGGTCAGTAAATAATAATTTATATACCAAACAATGCCTTCTTTTGGAGCTCGGTAGTTTATTTAACGCACGATAACTTTCGTGGATGCGGCGTGAACGCATCGCTCACTACAGCGATTTAAGTTCACTATCCGTGAGCTTTCATCAGATAGGTCACGAACTGTATGTTGCGCTGGTTAGCAACTCACCCAGCCAGTATTCTTCCGACTTGACTATGATTGGCCGATGTCGGCCAATAGGACAGAAATAGCCACTTCAGTCTAGCCTGCCTTTGTCGAAAATGTCATGTTCGCAACGTTGCCCTAAGTTTTATTCACCCCATTTCCAACATTTGCTTCAAACTTGGGCATCGCTTTTACTCTGGTTAAGGAGTGAATGCGAACGGTTAGCATCTGTGAGATGAATCCTAACTCGCCTTTCACTCACTAAAGTGCACTAGTGACCAGGTTAACGCCCACGGTCCCAACTGATTAATTATGCACTTGTTCCGACACTACACTTTTAATCGGTTCTTTCCTCCATTGACTCAGACGAAAATGCCCCAACCACCCGTTCAGGCATGGATTTGTTGTGCATATTAATCATTGTGCAGGATGTTGGGGTGGTAGAATTGTTTGCATTCGATGCGCCATTTTCTATAACTTCGGTGGCTTCTTGCTTAGCAGATACGCCAACGAAGAAAGTGCTTCTTGTATGCTGCCCAGTTGCAATTAAGTCAACAACGTTTAGTCCTTCAACTGGCAGTGCTGTAGTAAACTTTTGATTGAAATTGCAAAACATTCCATAACTCAAGTGTTCAGTCTGCATATATAAATTTCAAAGTTGGACCTTGATGCCGCATGTGCAATGGTCGTAGCCATTAGCTAATGATACTGAGGATAGAGTTCGTGGGACTGCAATTAACACCCATATATAATTTGGTCCAGCATATTTACTCAATTTACTCACATAGGAGATTTCGTTCGAGATCGCAATAATTAACTAGGTAATCCTTACAGGCCTTTAGGCAATATCCGCTACCTAAGACTTAGCGTACCTTGGTCACTACTTAGCTCTTTTCAGTAGTCTGAATTAATTAGGCCACTAATTGGGTAATTTAGATTCGCAGCAACTGCACCCTTACATCCTTGTCGCAGACATCCACTAGCCGGTGTGCCGTCCTTGCCAGTGGCTTCCTAATGACATGTTTTACTGAGACACTCGACAAGGTATCACAATCCTACTTTTGCAGTGTTCCATAGAGCAGTCAATGACTTTTGCGTTTTAATGTTTTAAGGCTGGTACTGCCACCGAAAATGTGAGAATGGCTGTGTAGCGTATTTGTTTGTCATCTTGAATGTTAGATGATATTCTAATTTTGGGTTGGCGCGCCCTCAGTAAGGTTGCTAACGTCCTCTCTTCAAAGTTATGCTCTTATCAACTTCTGAGTTTGCTAGCCGATTTGGCTAAGATGCTTCGTGATAAATTTAAATCAAAACAATGTATTCAATGTTTGTACTGGCACCGCGAATGTGTAGTTGACGGTATTGATCATTTACTTGTATCTTTCTGAAGGTAAGTTATGAAGAGAAACTGATAAGCTCCTTGAACATTTCGCATAAGAGAGATGCAAAATTTTCGAATTGAAATCGCATCATTAATCTGATTAGTGTAGCATTTGCGAGGGGACGCTATTTCGGTCAGCAGATGAAAAAAATAGGTAACCATGAAAGCATTAATTCATTAACTGCTAGACGCCATTTTGCTATGTACGTGCACGTTTAGTTAATAAATTAACGTCTTTGTTGTCGTACCACAACGTTTTTTGTTAATAAACACTTTTCAACTGTGATTGAGGTAAACCTTTCATTCACGTGTAAAAGGGGCATACGCAGATGTTTGACTAACTTCTCCTATTTTTTTCACTACAATTACTTTATTTTATTATGAACTTTGTCATTTCTTCAGTCAATAACTTTACATATTTATTCTAGTTGACATTTAGTAGCTCCAGGAGGACAGTCGTGTATAATTCATAATCTCATGACAGTCAGACGATGCTAAGAATTTCCTAACTCGTTCACCATGTCGAGGACAACAGTATTCCGTGGCATACGTCTTTTATATATGGAAGGCTAGCCTTCATGCGAAAAAAGTCACCCAGGTTATTTCTCTATTTATTTTGGCAGATAACAAGGCAAACGAAAGCTAGCCCTTAATCAGCATGCTCACTCTATTGCCGACAGTCACACTGAGCGCTCAACCGTAGCCTAAGTGTTTTCCAGTAAGTGCGGTTGATGAGTTCACATAAACTAGAAAAACGGTTACCGTTAGCTTGCAGTTGTCTTTGACGTACATTCCAGACTTTTATATAGGCGTGTACAAAATACCATCAACGAAGGTGATAGTTAGCCTGCTGCGTTTTAAAGGCATTTCCTATGGACGAGAGAGGACGTAGAAGACGCCTAGGAATGCGAGTTTATTAGAGACTTGCTACTGGCAGAAATCGTCCGTTTTAAAACAACATTAATCACAGTTTGGCAAACAAGGCCAGACTAGTTAAAACAAAGCAGCTCTGAGCCAGTACTAAATTAGGAACTCCGGATTTTGTTTTTCTTTTTTCTTTTTCTTCTTCTTCTTCTGGTAGTATGATTCCTCGAAATATAGGCTTGATGGCAACTGCACCTGTCAAATGTCCAGATGTTGTTTCATTGCTGGTGTTGTTGTTCGCAGACGCCGTGTCATTAGTAGGGGTGTTGCTGCTATTCGCAGGTGCCGTAACATTCATTGCATCATCGTCTTTGGCGGTCGTAGTGTTTGTCACGGTGCCATTTCCAGATGCCATATCAGAGGATACAGTGGTGTTTATGAGCCCTGTGGCATTGGTTGCATTGACGCTAGCCGATGTGGTACCACTGGCTTCAGTGCTGTTCTCACTTGCAAATGCTCCTGACGAAAAAAGGGAAATTTTGTCAATAGACCAAATTAATTTAAGTGAATTCTGACAACTTAGCTACGGGCTAAGTGGACTAGAGCATACCACAGAGGTAAATAGAAGCAAGCAGCAATGCGTCAAGTAAAATCCTTTTTAATAGTAAATAAATTTATTGGTTCATGATAACTGTGAAAATCGGTTTGCGGACACGCGATTTATTTTCAGATAGTTGTACGTTTTATCGATTGTTAAAGATCAGATTAACAAACCTGTGCGACTTCGTGCCCGAACGGGCTGTCTTAACAACATAGTCCACACTTTCTTTTAATAGGACAAAGGTGTTTTGTCATTCAAATAATGATATGACATGACACGAAGCACCAATTTTCTTGTCATCTGATTTCTGCACATATGTTAGTGAGCGAAGAAGTGAGCAAAATATTAACAATTTCCAAAAAATATCAGTATTCGTTCGTTCACTATGCCGGGCATTCCCAATCATAGAACGGAGCCCTACAGCGAGCAAATATAGTGAAATTGTCCAAAATATAGAGAGAAAGGAATTTTATTGCGTTTGCGACAAAGATTATCGGTATTTTTTGTAACGTGCAATAAACGGTTGTATCGAGTTTTGACTTGGCTTCATCATTTAAAAATATAAAATACACCGACATCTGCCAACGGAACGCGGTATTTAAGCATTCCTTAAAAAGGTGACTAATAATAAAATGTTTTGTAGCTGTGTGAATGCATATTCGCTGTTGATTTTTGTCGTGGATGGTCATTGTATTCGAAGACGGGGTTTTCTGTTTTGGTCTGATATCACACATGACCGAATTGGCTATTTGAACAAAAGGGAACGTCAAAGCACTTACAAATTTGAAAAATATCTTCAAGAAGTATCTTATTCGAATGATTTTAATGGACGCATAATGTAGAGTCTAGAGTTATGGCAATGTAGTAAAAAACTCATAAAATCATGAGGAACTGAACAAACGGCTTAAATTAATCTGTAACTCAACATTTTAAAAAACAGGGAAAAGTGCACATTAATTTTTCGGAAGATAAACTGCACAATATAGAAAAAATGGTATGTTTACGATTCCATCCGACAAATTAAATTATATGTATTAATCACCGGTCGGCCTAGCGCGTTCCCTGTGAATAGCGTTATTTCTATGAAGACCCTATCGATAATATCAGCCGAAATCTAATTTACTTTATTGAACCACATCTAAATTGATTCAACTTCATATAGAATACCACGAATCCCCGGGAAACCATTGTGGAATTTATACCCAGGATGGAAGTTGTTGGCAAACCGCCGTGCGCGAAATTGAACTAATCAGTAAAGGACATCTAAATATTTACTTCACTAAAAAGATGTTTTCGAGGTTCTCTGATCGTGCTGTCATATTTACTTAGTGTTTTGCAACGATGTTTGACGTTTTTCCGCCTTTCTCAAGCTTATTATTTTTGGACAACGTAACACTATCGTCAACAATTCTTTTATGTTTTCAATTTCCCTGAAATGTTTATAAATTCACATAGATAGTGAGTCTACGCATTGGTTTCGGCTTGCGAGTGGTTATCGATTATTCGCAAATTTCGACGCATTTCGTGTGTCAGGTAACGTACTTTAAGCGTTGTATACTTTCTGTTTTCGGAAAATCATATATATACGCATATTTACGTTATGAATGTTTCATATAAGGCCGACAAAAACTTTCAGTATATGTCGACCATATTACATACATTACAAGCAGCGTTAATAAAAGCAAAATACAATGCACTATTGTGTGGCACTAGGGGGTTTGAAAAATATCAATTGTAAGGCTCTTAAACATGAAGACACAAATTGTTAACGAATTTAATTTCAAAGAGACGCAATGTTTAACCATAGAGTAAAATAAAAGTATTTTTGAAAATCGGTCCCACGAATTACATTACATTTCTGGGGTGACCGTCAGTGAGAAACTGCCTTAGTATTTATGCTGCCATCTGGTAGACGGAAGCTCATTCCGAACCCGGCAAACTTCAATGCGAGTTCGAATATTAGAAAGCTGTTTATATGTACTTTTTAATCGAAAACACATCTCGAAATTTCGGTTAACATTTCATGAAAGATGGCGGCTACTGTCTGTCTAAAAGTCCCGACGTTTACCTACTAGGAAGACACAAGAATGTTACGAGAGACTTTGTACTAACTAGTTCCTACCGTGACCAATTAACAATTGGCTAGTAACAGTACCCGTCAAATAGCCAGATGTGCCATTGCTCGTGTCATTAGTTGAGGTGTTCTTGCTATTCGTAGGTGCCGTAACATTCATTGCAGCATCGTCTAAAGAGGCCGTTGTGTTTGTTTCTGTGGCATTTCCTGATGGCATATCAGAGGATATAGTGGTGTACGTGAGTTCTGTTCTATTGGTTACATTTCCGCCAACAGTGGTGTACTCACTGGCGAAAACCTCAAAGAGAATTTGGTTAATATATAAAATTATTTTAAAATGAACGCTGACAAATCAGTAATAGTCAAAATGAACCGAAACGCACCACTGAGGCAAATGAAAGCGAAGAGCAATGCGCCAGGTAATACCTTTTCCATTGTAACCTCCAGAATCTCTGAAATTGCCATAATATATTTTGCGTAAATGACCAGATACATCTTTTATTCTGTAGACAGCATGTAGCCGCCCACGTATAAACGAAACGCAAGCACATCCTTTATCACCAGCTCCACAAACTCACCCCAAAGAACACAACGCCAGTAAGTGCAGCATTGAATCCGAACGCTTTAAATACTCATGTGGCTCTCAACAGACGCACTAGATTGGTTGGTTTCCCTTGTGGGCTAGGATTTGGGGTTCACAATCAACCGTTGTTTTGGATTTGATGAGGCTCAAATTATTTGTTGTCAAACGTGCATTTAGCTCCTTAATTTATGCATGGCAATCCATGCTGTACTACGACCTACAGTACCTGTGCTAACTCATGAAATGTCACGAATTAACACAGGTTAACGACTTTAACGCAAAATCGGTAAACACTACGGCTCCCAAAGTCTGATAGCGGAAAATAAACGATGTGTCAAAGAAATAAAGCAAAGTTTGGTTAAGAAAATATTATTTGCTGAGATAAAAATAAATAATTTTCGACAAAAGTCACATTTTCGAGAAACGCCTATATTACAACCAGGTTTATAAAGGCCACGTATGAGGACGTATAAAGGAGGAGGGCGCATAAAAGGTCAAAAATAATTAAGGACAGAAACAGATACAAAAAATTAGTACTTTGTAGATTGTCCATTCGAATTAATAACAGCAGAAAGTCTGTCCGGCATAGACATGACAAGGTTATCTATGATGGATTGTAAAATGTAATTTTTGAGTATGAAATCCAATTTTTCCTGCATTGAAAGAGTCCTCTTAGCTTTGTGCCAATTTCTTTTGACTATTCCAAAAAGATTTTCGATAGGATTCAGATCGGGACTGTTGGCCGGGATGAAAATGGATTGGAGGCCAATTGCGGAGAGCGTGGTTGTTGTCTAAAATGTTAGATTATATTTGCAAGCGGCGGCATCGAATTCGTACCTCTTTAGAGCGGTGGACCGGTGCATTGTCCTGCAAAATTACAGTATCCATTCGGCGCCGACTCATGCCGTTGTAGCCGAAAGCATCCTTGACAATTGCAATGAACACCTTGCTGTTGATGGTGTCGGATGTTGACCGCCAGACAGGCCGCTCACCGAATTTAATCGCATTCAAAACCATCATCCGCCGACAGTTCTTGAATGTTGCCGTCGGTGTAGTGTGTTCTCTTGGGAAGTTCTTTCCACATATGACGGTTTGGAGCGATTTCGTAGGCTTGTCTAAAAATAGAACCTCATCGCAGAAGAAAATGCTCTTCCAAAATGAAAATCTGTAATCAATATAATTCTTAGCAAATAAAAGCCGTTCTCTAATTAGTTTTCTACTTAAATATGGCTTAATCATGGCCTTCCGCCGCTGCAGTTCAGATTTCTTCATCCTTTTTCTAATGATGTTCATAGAAAACATCGGCAGATGTTCCCGCTGAATGGTCTCAATGGGCATGTAATGAAACTTTTTTAATGTACGACGAATAAAATCGTCGTCTTGCTTACTTGTGGACCGTTTTGGTCCCCCTATCTTATTTCTAGGAACAGTTTTATCATTAATAATGCGCCACAGAGTGACCTTGCTAATATTGAAAATACTAGCTAACGACTCACGCGGGATTCCCTCCGCCGCTAATTTTCGAATGCGCTGGAAGTCAACTTCGGATAAGTATTGTTTAGACATAGTTATCGTTTGGCGTGGCAGAGCAAAGTGACGGCATGTCGCGCAAACTCAATATATATTCGTTTACGACACGCATTTTCAGTCTGGTAAAACAATCACACTGATAAACTTTTTTAATTCGGTATTTTGAAACATAAAACTTTACGAATTTGTAAAATAGAATTTTTAGATAATGAATCGCACGTTATTTCCTGAACACAAAAAGAAATAATTTATCTGCATTTTCCCGATTTTCTTGATATTGAAATTTAATTTTTTCTTTTTGTTCGAAAGTTTATTAAAAAATTTCGTCCTTTTATTAATCTTCTTAAACAGATTAATAAGGTAACACAAGGAATTTCCATCCGAAAGCTTTAATAGCGTAGGAAACTGCTTGAATATCAGGAATCCTCCGATTTCGCCTGAATCCGGCCCGTTTTCTATTTGATATACAGATCCGTATCAAAGTTTCCTTCAGAAAACGGTCTTTTCGTCCTTATTTCAACTAAATAAACACAAATAACGACACCAAAAATACGCTACATTTTCCTCTATAATTTTGACCTCGTCATTTCATGAGTTAGCACAGGTACTGTATATCTCGAGAAGATTTGTGGGCCTTTCTGACTTGCCTTTTAGGGACCAAAAGACGCATCTGTTTTGCGTTGTTATCGAATATGGAAAACAGTACTTTCCGAAAAACGCAGCATCTTATTGCGCAAAGTGTGCTTTGTCAGTTAGGTCGCTCAAAATAACGTCACGACGATGAATGGATCCCAAGGAGTGAACAAGCATTTGGTCGCATACTTAAACAAAGACCATGCATCTGGAGGATTAAATACGTGTACTACTGCAGGTTTGTGTCAATACTTAAGAATGTACCCCCATAAAATAATGCATTCAAACTCAGATCATGCAAAACATCACTTTAGTTTGGGTTATAAGAATATTCTTGGAAGCCGAACATAGAAACAAGTGATGTACCATTAACTCAAAGTTGTCTATATACAGTATGCGGGCTTACTCATGAAGTGTCAACTGGAAGTTCGAAATGCGATTTCGCTTCAAAAGATGAATCGAGTGGGGTTGGAAAACTAATCACCTTGTAGCGCAGTTCTACAACTATTCAGTTGTATCCGGATGACGGGTATCAAACGAACTTCCTCCCGGCTGCATGCAACACTATACTCTGTAAAAATGACTATTCAAGTAGCACACATTTTTCTCATTCATTTTCGATGTCCTTAAAAATTCAATTATATTTCATGGAAAACATGCACAAACAATAAGTTCATTTTTTAGTCGGTAGGTAATTACGTTATCTTCCGATTTTATGCCCAAAGGAAGGACATAATTTGGTTTCCAAAAACTTTCCGGATTTCTGGACCCCGACCTGCCCTTAAACTTGCACTCGGGGTTTCTAAACCACAAGCTGTATATTTTTCTCGTACGGAAAATCAAACATTTCTCTACGGTATTAAGCGAGGACTACGTGGAGTTCATAAAATTTAGCAGTGGATTTTGGCCATATTGTTAAACTTACAAGCCATACCTTATCAACGGGCGTCTCATGGTATGAAGACACTCACAATTAGACATTTTAGAATTAAAATAAGCCTCTTCCTTCGAAAATAAAATCGGAAGAAAATGTTATTTATTGGCAATAAATTTTTCTATAAAATAATCTAAGGGTATCGACAATCAATAAGAAATTGCATGTTTATTGTTTACAGAGGGAAGTTTATGCTTGCGGCCGGAAAGACGGTCGCTCGAAAGCCGGCACCCTGAGGTAGGTTAAATATTATTGAATTGTCCTGCAAGATGATTAGTTTTCCAACTCGCCTTAAGTAATCTTTTTGAAACGAAAACTCTATTCGGAATTTCCGTTAATATTTCATGAGTAAATCCTCCTACTGTATGAATATTTGGCGGGGTAATCTGTTGCCGTAACCTTTTAACAGTTTTCCATGCCATCATGTATGATACGTAAATATATATTTTTACTCAGTCGATGATAAGTGTCATTTATGGGGAGTGATGACCGAGAGGTCAGTTTTTCAGACGCAAATGCCAAATTGTAAGGCGACGTCAACATGTGGCCTGACATCCTTCAGCTGGAAATTGCATCACGCTAGTGATCATAGTACAACTTTGGTCGAAATAACTTTTGATCCGTATATATTGCGTAAAAAGTAAATCCTACGGACGATGTTAAAGGTGCCTAAATAAGATTGTAAGTCAGAGCCGTGACAGAGGAAACAAACTAGTTGAGACATCATTTGCTGATGCGCTTTAGCAAGTAACCACTTAAGGAAAATAAGCTATCATGCAAGCCAATACGTGTAGTTAACGTGAGTAGAGCAGCATCAAGACTTCAAGCCAGCCAGCCATCATTTGATGAAGACACTTACCGTCTCCAATGGTCTGAAGTATTGTGAGAATTCGTCGTGGAGATCGTCAATTTTCGAAACCACCACCGTTTCCATAATCAAATGACGGACATCACAATGTCTATTTGCAAACAAGCGGCAGCAGACTTTATGGATTTAAATCACAGTTTTCTTGTAAAACCTGTCTGGCGCATACGGACGACAAAGCCCGGTGTCATACAATGACTACATATTATATTAACAATCCAACCAAATTATGAATTCGAAAGTCACTCCTTTATGAATGCGTTGTTACAATGATGTCAGAATCCTTCCCGGATATTCTAAAAAATCCCTTCTTCAAAAATACTGCTTTTCTTGGCAGCAAAATGAATGCAAAATTCTACACACGGGATGTCGCGATGTAGTGTACCCACTCTGTTGAAAAGATGGTTTCGGAATAACTTAATTGGCTTCCTACAAATAAATGAGAATTCCAGAGGTTCATATTTTCATATCTCAACTTTAGGTCGTAGCTCAAGGGGTTAGAGAGTTGGCTGTACTATGCCTCCCCCTTACTGCGTGGATTCGACTGCCACCGTGGCACCGAGATTTTCACAGTTGGGCCAATATGAATTATCCAAAATGTGTCAAAACATCTATGGACTAACCATTACCTTAAATATTACTCCCACCGGGCTTTAAGGCAAGACTACCTCCCATACATGGATTCTTATAAGCGTGCCCAACCGTAGAATGACAACACGATATACTTCCAAATAGGAGTGGCTTTCAAATCGTCCTCAGGCAACTGGAACACCTTGACACCATTCTTCAAATTACATATCACAACCTAGGGCCTCTTAAAAAAAGCGAATTAGCTCATTATGCGAGCTTCATGGAATTGATACTAGCAGACTCACTCTGCACACTGTCCTAGTTTGATCCATAAGCAAACCCGGTAACGGACACATCGTATCTATCTATTTCTGGAATTCCAGTGTGTCCATCTCAAACCTGCTTATGTAGTTTTTCAGTTTCCTATATGCATGACGGAATGTTCAGCGTTGATTAACGGAACAACGTAGAGTAAAC